GTTGTAAAATAACTTTTGAACGCATAATTCAAATTTATATTTTACTTATAATTACTATATTGTATATTAAGCATACATTTATTCGAGGAATAATTTTGGATAAAAAATAACTTTGAGTCAACATTTAAAAATTAAGAGTAATTTAATATTACATTTTAAATTATAATTTATATTTACTATTCATAGTACCTGAAAATCAAAACTTTCTATCCAAACATTACTCAAATATAAAAAAGTAATATTATGCTACCAACTAGCAAGCTAATATAATATAGTATTACACAAAGCACATGGCTTTTCGAATATTTTTAAAACTTCAGTTAATATATTATACAATATACCTTTTGTAGTTATATAAATTACCTGTTAATATAACAGGTAATAATTATACTGGCCAGTTGTTTCATCGTTAAAAAAAAAATATTATGCCGATTAAAATCAATTATTTATAAAAGTAACAATTTACGTTACTGGCGTTTGAGCTTTAAACAAAAGTTATCATTCACTTATTAATTATAAATGGTACTTCCGGTTTTTTTTTTTTTGCTTTCAGTATTTGTATTCTTTTTCATTACTTTTTTTATTGCTTTTCGTGTGGTTAGTATAAGTCTTTATTAAAAGTAACAATAGCCAATAGGACTATATCTCATAAAACAATAATATATCACAATCGTAAAATCGTTGTTATTGTTTATGTCTTTATACTATTATTCCCGGTCGGTTTATCCTGACTTTAATATTAAATTAAATTAACTATTTTTAACATCCAAATAAAATCATACAGCCCATATTATTAGGTTATTAAGTTTGTTGATACATATACAAAAATGCGTTATGTTGAATAGGCCATATCATAATAGGTATATGTATTATATTTGCAAAGATATATTATTGTGTAATTAATTTTATTTAAGTTGACACAAACATGTTTGTATAGTTTTTTAACGTAGCCATATGCATTTTGCAGTGTACACTACACAAACATACCAAATCCTAAGGGAATCGTTCAGTACAAAATACTAAAATTGATTGAGCCTTCCAATAATATTTGACGAACTTTAATAATATTGTTATAAATTATTACGGAAATGTGTATTGTGTAGTCTATTTTACAATGACTATATGAGAAATTAATAATTATTTAATGTTCAACAAATTGTTTTTAAATACCTATTAAACTATATTTAGAACACTTTAGTTCTAATCTACTTTGTTTCCTCAGATTCGTTTTTCGTATTGTAATGATTTATTATTGAACTCAAACTTAACACATCCATTGCCTTTTAGTGACCTACCTGCTCTTTGATGAGGTAAACTCGAAATCTACCATACAGCTAATTGGCTTCTCCGTCGTAATAAATAAAAAATAAAAATTAATTGTGAAATGAAATAATTCGAAAATGTAGTTACCATCACATACACGAAGAGTACTATGACGTCATACGAAATGTAGTTTAAATTTGATTAAGAAATTCCTTCAGAAAACACTATTATATAGGGATAGAAAAGGTTATTTTAGTAAAACGTAACAAATGCATTTTTCAATTATAAATGTTCTACAAAAATTGATTTTATTACTGTAGACTGAATGTGAATATAATGTATATATTTCAAACAATTCTTGTGATCTGAGTTTCAATGAGTCGTTGAAACTGAAATAATTTTAAATACCATTGTAGTTATTTATCAAATTACTTTCAACTTGAATCGATTACAAACAATTTAAAGACTTTTAGGAAGGTACTGTAGTTTACTGGTAGGTAGGTATACATTGAATAAAACGTTGCATTACTTGCATTAAGTAATAAAACGTTTTTTTAAAAATAAAGTCGAAGGAAATGATAAAACGCAGTAGCTAGGTACACGGACTGTACGATTATGCTAAAAACGTTCACGTTGTTTTATTACCCTGTAATTAAATTTAGTTTTGAATCCATTAATTCTTGTTTCAGCGTTTTAACAATATTACGCGGACAGCGATAGACTTTTAGGTACGATTTGGGGAAAAATCATTGAAAGGTCACCTTGTACCCAGGGTATAGAATATAATAAAGTGGGTGTCAATGTTTACCTAAATGTATAAATGTGTAAATGTGTAAATGCGCAAACACCCATATTATAAATGGGCGCAACCCCTTTGGCCTAATAATTGGCTTTCCTCTTTTTGCCTACGTTCTCTTTTTGACAAAATGCGATTAAATAGTAGATTCTCTTTTCATGAAAAAATAATTGTATTCTTTTCGTCCACGGTTTCACTTCAACATTTTGAGAAGCATTGTGTTTAAAATTAGTTTAATAGAGCCATTAAGCATGACCTCTGGAGTTTTGAATAATTTCTTTGAAAATAATTGTTTTTTTTTGTTTCGGATGTTGTCTTTTAAACATTTTCGCTTACATGCTGTGTTTACTATTTGACGATTAATATTTGATTTATTATAATATTCATTGTGGTTATGTTCCCAACCTGAAAATAAATGCAATATTTTTATCTTTGTAGAATTAATAATTTTACGTTTCACATTCTTATTATACATTTTCTCCAACCTGTAGAGTTGTTTTTTTGTCAGTCGATCCAAAATGTATTATTCTTTGAATTGTTATACATTTTTAAAGAACCATACGTTCACCCTACTGCTTTCTAAGAATTTCATTTTTTTTTATAAAATGTAGTCACTAGTCATCACCCTCTTGAGTAAAATGATCGTAATTTATCACAATGAAACAACTTAAAGAAAGCGTAGATACTATTTGGCACGACAAAGTGAACGACATACGTAAACCACAATAATTAGTACAACTTGACAATATAATTAGTTATTTATTGTTATATCGATAACACATTAACACTACTTTTAAATTTATTGTAATATAATTAAAGTATTAACTACTTATGTAATATAATAATTATTGCGCCATAATTTATATGAAACATAAATTATTTTGAGACAGTGCTTCCCAAAATGTTGAAAGCGAAACCGTGGGCGAATGCAATGCAATTACTTTTAGGCGAAAAAAAGTATTTTTTTTGGGAGAAAAGAGTACCTCCCTATATTATAGTGTTACGATAGTGCTTAAGCGGTCCAATCGTAATGCCGTTTTAGATAGAAATAATATTGAGCGTGTGGTGTTATTTTCCTTGTACGAAGTAGGTACGGACAGCAACAACAACAACAACAACAACAACAACAATAGTGTTTCACACCCATCGTGTGAGTTAAATTGCTTTCACGTGTATATAGGTAAGTGGTAATGACACAGTTTATTGTTGTATATACTATAGTGTTATACTGTTGCTCTAACGTAATCGCGTAGGGTTTGGGATTTGCGGGGCTGTTCGAAGAGGATGGAATGGCGGCGGAGCACTCGCCGATAATATTATAATAATATTGTGCATTATGCGTGGTAAATAGAATAAGGGTTGCGGCGACGAAGCCTGTTGGACACTGTGCGATGGCGGTGTGTCCGACGAGCGTGTACAGCGTCCAAAACGGTTGTGGGGTGGCGGTCGTCCTCGTCACGTGACCGAGAGGTGAAGGAGAAAGAGGGTGAGTTTCGAGAGCTTGGCCGATGGAGGCAGTACAATGAGTCCGCTCGATACTTCTAATTACGGTCGGTATATAGATGGAAGATAACGAGGCAGGACGGAAGAGAAAAATAACAATATAAAAACAATGATGATAATAATAACAATAATGATAACGCAACGGAACGGGGGGGGGGGGGACACGCCCTCCTCATTGCTCCACGGTCCTTTGTGAATTAAATAATCCAGTGGTGAACACATACCCGGCAGCTGGGGGGTACTTTCACACCATCAAAAAAAAAAAAAAAAATGTTGGCAGGTATAATATCATGATGTTCTCAGAATGTCGTGGATCCAATATATAGTAGCTGGTACCTACAGATGTACAGATAAAATACTTTTCGGACGATATTACATTGTAAATGTGACGATATAATGTGTGATTGACTTCCTACTCGTGAAGCGCAGTATATTATGGGAATGTTTGAAATATTATTGTAGATGATTAATTGCGGAGGGTGGGTGCACGCCGGTTAGCAAATTATTTCTTCGGGTTTGCCCGCCCCGGAATGAAAAATGTTTTGCGCCGCCGGCTTCGATAAAAACTTTTATATTAATATTATTATTATACCCAAGCCCGGCCTGAAGCACGACGACGATCTGCCGACGATTTGTCAGGCTAGGTGCCGTAATAGTCGACGATCTGTGAACCATGCGACTCGTGTAGCCGCCGCGGACACCGCTCGTCACCGTAGATGTACCTACTTGATTGTGACGTATGCGTCGACAGCGACTCCGTTCCTATACTTGTCATCGGGTTACCAGGATCTGAGTACACGAACGTTACTTCGACCACGGTACTGTGCTCGTGTAGTAGTGGCAAAGAGTATATTGTTATGCACTCGACGCGCGCGTCTGCAGAATCGCCTTTGCAACATTAATACTTCGCCACCTGCAATATTACCGAGTAGGTACAACAGAATACTGATGCTGTTGATTAACCGCAATCAATTACGTTTCACAAATCGCATACCTGCCTAACATAATATTATTATTACGAACTATTATTGCCTCGCCGTTCGTTTTGCCCTGTAAATCGCCCACAATATTATGGTCGCTGTCGTAGCGGGCGGTCGGTGGAGGACGGCTCATAGTCGAAGCAATTTTTCTCAACCGATCTCGGCGCCACCGCGGCGTACGATTTATGCCCGTACATACTTGTCTTGTATACCGCTCCTCCTACTACTATATTACTAGGTCGTACTGCTACTACCGCCATACTACCGCTATACCACTTACTGGGTAATCGGTATATAACGCGTACAATTATAGGCGTACAGACCGTCATTATTATAATACAGAAATCGCCGAGCGACGACTGTGGCCGTCGTCGTGTCGGCGCGTGTCTCGTTGCGGCGCGCGGCACACATATATCGCACTAGGCGACCGCGACGGTGGCGTCGGCGTCGGCGTCGACGGCGGCTGCCGATTTTCCCTGGGAGCACGACGGCGGCGCGGTGGCCGTTGTAGTAGACGTGAGTATCGCGACCGGCCGGAGGGACGTCCCCCAGCCGTTTACACATCGTCCGTGCTCTCCGCGGCCACCGCGTACGCATACGTTTAGGACCCGCGTTTCGCGCGCGCTCGTTCACCGTTTCAGACATCAACAAGTGTCGTCGTCGTGCGCGAGACCGTCGCGTCAACACGGCCGCAGGGAAACAGGAAAATCCCGAACAAACGGAGAAAACCGCACTGTTGCTGCGAGGATAAAAATCTCCGCCGTCGTCAATAATACCGATATCTGTTGCACAATATTATTCGTTCATCGTGAGTATAACGCATTGACGGTTTTCGCAAAATAATAATAGTTGTTAAAATGGTACCCGTACCTGCTTAGGACACTCGGTATAGTAACATCACATGAGCCATGAGCGTAAATTATAACAAGTCACAATAATATATAATAATGGCCACGTTTCACACGGCCGTTTCATACACGGGTGATTGTTCGTGCACCCGTCTTCAGACAATATTCATCTCACGATTTTCGAAAGAAAAATCCGTCTGAGTCGGAGTCGGTCGACACTGGAAATCTGCAGAGTCCGATACGGGTCGGTCCTGCGTTTCGCTGCGACGGTATGATATAATAATAACCGCACGATATGTAACTTCTCGATCGACACACTCCGATAGTATTATGTCCATGCGTTCTTCGTTGAAAATCTTGACGCGAAATTGATTTTATTTCTGCGGCTACGTACGAATAATTTCCTACAGCGATAGGCATGTTATCTTGGCGTCTTCCGAGGTATTCACTTATCGCGAGTGGCGTTTTCGACAGGGCCCGGGGGACCCGCGGTAGATAAAGTCTCTCGAATTTATACATTTATGTGTGCACGGTGTACCTAGCCATTTCGACGACGATGCACCGACAACTGCTCATTACAGGTACGACTACAAGTATCGCCGATGGCAATACGAGCGCACATTGTTATTATTTATTCGGATAATAAGAATAGGTACATATTTTATATCATTAAGCACGCGACGTGTGCAGCTGTAAATTATTTTGATTGTGTTGCACGCGTCCGTTTTTCGGTGTAAATAATATTTATAGATATTACAATATTATATATCAATAACAGTGATAATATGTAAGTGTATCCGTATAAAATCCATCTACCGATATCTCGTATATCGCGAGATATATAATAGTAGACATTATAAAGTGTAGATTTTACACCGACCACCCCCGATACCCGCGTGCGACGTCATAATATATTATGTTTTGAATATTATGTAGAAAATCTGGTTGTTATTTATTCAATATAATTTGCACCGAGTACGTCCATCACCTGTACACATTATATAGCCACATAGGTATAGCATGTTATTATAATAATTTAATTATCATGTAGACACATGATAATGTATTTTTTTATTATAAAAGAAAAGAATTGGATATTTTTCGACGTAAATTTACCCAAATCTAGAGCTTGAAAAAACTTTTAAAAACGGATTTTTGAATTTAAGGACCTAAAGCATAGTTTTAGAGTCCATCGTGCTCAACTCCGAATAAAATATGATAAATACGATTTGAATACGAATACACACTATACATTTAAACGAAACACAAACCTATAAAACTTAATACCATTGAGTATAGATAGTATATCTATATCTATACTCAATGTTAATACTCATCACTATCTCTAAGTTATGACACCTATTTATTAAGTCAATATTATTTTTATTTTTATTTTTTTATTACTTTACACAAATAGTTCAAATCATTACATTGATTTATCGACATTTTTAACAAACATAGCTTATAATATTATATACTTGCCTAAATTATATACCACATCACCCCCTTAATGTCATTATCTGTTCCTAAAATGTATTATGTAACGCTGTACGCCAGTTAATATATATCTAATAAGCTAATGCATCAACTCCTAATAATATTAATATTACGGAGCCAATAATTGTATTTCAAAGAAAACTGTTCCCTTCTCAGAGTGGGTACATATTATTATATTAATGTGTGGTCTTATGTCCTCTGACTCAAATATTTTTTTATTCGTTTTGATTTTATTTTATCGTAAATAAGTTATCCATACATAACTACATGATAGATATTTTACCTTACAGTTAATAATTATATTTTTTTAATGAACTTATCAATTGTTTTCGCGGTTCTCTGGTGTACATAATAACTTAGTTAACTAACTACCTATCTACCTATGTCCCATATTGTTGTATAGACTGTAGTATATAGTTATTTTAGTAGGTACTATGGGCTATGGCGATTGGTTAGCAATAATAATTAATGAACGAACTTTAATAAACAGAGTATGTACTGCAGTGTACATATTTATGCAATATTCTTGATCTCCCACTCATTATCGAAGACGCCCTCAACGAAAACGAAACCACAAAATGTATCGCCTTTATTTCTAAATGTTAAATAATTTACTTAATTAACTAGCATTGTAAATATTACTAATTTGTAATGTTGAACATCGTTGGCTTATAATATTAGCTGTTGAAGCCTTTAAATTCTTACATAATAAAAATTAGTCTCATTTAATTTTTTTAGGGAAACCAACTATTTTTACATAATTTCTTATAGCCAGGTTATGTGCAATACTATATTTGACCAAACTTATCTAATTCAATAATAAGTCATTCATTATAAATCTTTGTAAACTCGCAGACGTTTTTTTTTAAAAATATAAGTACACTTGACTTCCTATCAGATCTAAAGTAATTGAAAAGATTATGTATTCGGAATTATTGAATACATCTACATAATTTTAATGTTAATGCACCCACGGAAAAATTCTATGAAAACTAGCTCGAACAAAATGCATTTCTATTTTCTATTCTTTGATAAGACAATATATAATTAGTTATTTATATTTTAAAATGTACTGCTGAATATTCTATACATTCCGGAATGCTCTCCTTGTTAATGGTTTTTGTTATTGAGTAGCTGGTAACTATTCGAAAAGTGTTGAGTTTTATTAATCGTTCGTTATTTCGAAGAATATTATAGTCTGCAATATAGAAAATAGTGATTCTGACGAGCTTTAATATTAGTTGATTAATAATAGAAAAACGAATCAAATTTTAATTTACTTATAACATTTTTAATTAATATTCATTGATTTAAGCGTAGGAGATTGTGCACTTAATGTATTGTAACATTTACATCCTGCAGAATTTAACGTCATAATAATCACGATCGACATTAACTGTTGTTGCACAGTCTGACGGACGGATAGATGATGGATATACTCCGTTTATTGACAATAAAAGTTGGCGGTTTTGTTGCTTATTGCATTATAATACATATTGTATTATTGCAGCGTATGGTTATTTTGGTAGGTATGTACGTCGTATGTGTTATTACAACGTTGGTGTCAGGTGGTCATGAATTTGGTATACTCCCGTAAATGGTGTTACTTAGAAATAATTGACATGTTTAGTTTAATTTTTCTATCTACGATTTCCGGTTTTGTTATTATGTCGGCAGTTGGCTCATTATTAAGACCTCAGCAAACGTGTAATTTTTACGGAGCTGTGTGTAGGCAATATTCTTTCGTTTCTCGCGATCATTGATTGTCTTTGTGTGCATATAGTAAATGATCGTTGATGTGTGCAAACTCCACACTAGCCATCCGTATCATACATTATTTCATTGACACTTGTATGTACAAGTCATTTAGTCATTATATCAAAATATTTAAAACCATATGCGCGTGAAATAGCTTTATGGCAGACAACAATTTAAGAACTTCCAAAGGTTCGATTTAAATTTTAAGTTATTTTAATGAATAAACAAAATTGCTTTGGTTAGGTGCTCGTTTTAAATTTTAGTGAATTCTCAACGGGAATAAGCATTTTTAATTATATCGATTTTTCAATTTTTTATATTAAATATATTAAAAACTTTATAAAATATTGAATATTTGCTCAGACAGATTCAAATTAAACTCTTTTACCAAATCAAAAATCTTTACATTTTTGAAATCAAACCACACTCTTGTCAGTCACTAAATTCGTTGGAAAAATTTATAGGGTTCCAGGGGCCTTAAGTATCTGATTTTTACTTATAATATTTACTATACCTAAATACCTGCTTTATAATCAACAAATTAATTGTTTTTTTTTCTTATCGGACTGTGTTTGTATGTACTTACCTAATATTATCTCACAGTCTTCAGAAAACAACTATAAATATATGTTATAAAATGTGTCGACAAGAATTATCATAGTATTGTAGTAAATAATTTTTAGCATTTTAATATATTTTACTTTGACATCGATGAACATTGAACATAGTACCTAAATGGCTAGCCATCAATATTGTTCATTAAGTGCATTAAGTTACTTATTGAAACGGTTAAAATGTGTTCAATGGAATGAAGTACAGAAGTGTTGAACTATAATAATACTTACTAAATAATAATTAAATAAACAACAACTATTACTAAAAGATTGCGTATAATAACTTTATTTGCCAATATTTTTTTAGTGTTGTTGTTATCATATTTTAGTTCGTATTATCGTTCTATGAAAAATGAATTTATTCTATTTTAAAATTAATGTTTGGTCCAAAACTGACCTTTTTTTTACCCAAAACATACATACCTGTTTCACCCGGATAGTCTATTTATAATCAGCTTATTCTTTTTTTCCCAACATATTTTTGATAATTTTAAAATTACAGTTGACAATAGTTAATATTTATATATTTTAGAGTATTATGTTTATAGAGTTACCTAAAAAACCAACCATACAGAAAAGCGATTAATATTTCTAAATTATAATTATATTTTGTGAATATATTTATAATTTCGTGTTATATATACATTATATATAACGGGTATAATAAGCACCCCTCAATGTAATTTTTCATGTTTTCTTCACTAAATGGCATTTTTTTTTTATAAAAGTGACAGTTACAATTTAAATATTACATGTATAATTACTATATTTTAATCAGCTTAATTAAGAAAATTTACATTTTTACATAATATTTAGAAACGAAGATTATTACTTACTATTATAACATAACATTATAACTAATAAGCACATACTATGTCGTATCGGAACAATAGCCCTTGAATTGCATGCCCATAGATGAGCAGATAGGCATGAGGATAATAATGGCGAACCAATGATCAATGCAAATATAAAAGCTTACAAATCGAGTGGTTTATTAAACACTATTAGGTTATCTGATAATCATTTATAAGAAATAATAATAGGAATTCCAGTTCAGTAAGTAGGACTAATAAGTATTTAGTTTTTGCCAA